TATGGAGCAATTACCATGAAGATCGACAACATGCCAGCTATCAATCTGGTGAAGAACCCAATAGCACATGGTCGAAGTAAGCACATCGAAATGAGGTTCCATTATCTTCAAGAGCAGGTAGCATATGGGAAGATGAACTTGAAACACTGCAGAACTGAGAATCAGATTGCAGACATCATGACGAAGGAAGTGCAAGTCAAATTATTCATAAGGCTAAGAGTCATGATGAATATAGATAGTTTAGACACAATGAATTAGATGGTGTGTTAAATTGTAATTCATAGTGTCGAAAAGATTAGATTTGTTTTAGATTTAAATAGATTTGATTTAAGTCTAGAATAAATTAAATTTGATTTAGTAACAAAATAGAAATTTCAGGTTTGGGGCTTAAGGTACAAACTCAGTTATAAATAGAGGGAGTAACTCCTATTTTTTGTAAGCAAGTTGAGCAAGTCATTCACAGTATTTTGCAGTTGCAAAGTGAATAAGAAAGTTTGCACAATTTGTGAGCAGAGAGAAACTCTGCAGAAATTATTTGTCTTGTCTTCTTTCTTTGTTTGTCTCATAATTAAATTGTCATTGTGGTAGAAATTTATCATAGATATTTGATGAGTTTCCAACAAAAATTACAAGAATTTCAAATATTTATAAAGATTTAAATATTCTTCAGAAATTTATAACCGTACAATTAAAGAATAGATTTCATTTCGTAAAATAATAAATAAAAAACTATTATATTTAATCATTATTATTGATGTCGTCAATGTTGACTTGTTCATCGTAAATAATAAGTAGTATAAGTTAAAATATATGATGATTTTTGTTTGAAAAATATCAAATAAAATATCTAATAATACAAGACCAACCCGATAACTAATTATCCCCGAATCATGGTTTTTACACTATAATAATCAATAATAGCATTGAAACAACAATATCTTCAATGTAAATTAATTAATATACAAGAACGGTTTTTACACTATAATAATCAATAATAGCATTAAAACAACAATATCTTCAATGTAAATTAATTAATATACAAGAACAGTTATTACAACCTCACCAACAACAAAAATGATGGTTAAACACTCTTTTGTGTCTCTCAAAAGACTTTCATTCCGAAGATTATAGAAATGAAATAAATAATACTTTTATAGTTAATACATGCAATAAATATGTGGATAAGAAGTTTTCTCTTTTTCTTTTTCAGAAGTTTACGAAAATTTCTGTCAATACTTTAATTTTATTCATTTTTTGTTATAGTGTTTACTACTTTTTCTCTTAAGAATCCCATCACAAATGGTTATATACACAACATCGATAAAATAAATAAATAAGTTGAAAATTGCAGTACTTTATAATAGCGACCTTGATAGAAAACTAAACTACTTTTAGTGCGCTTAATAGTAGCAATTAGTATGGTACCTTGAAAGTATGTGGTGACTACAATGTGTAATGAAAACTAATTAGAAAACTAAAGTGAGGGTTATATTTCGTGTGATTTATTCTATAAGTTAATCGTAAAAATTAGGGATAATAATGGAATCTATTAAGATAAAATTTATGTGATTCATCGATTAAGGGTGTATTTGTTTTAAGGATTGAAATATATTTTTAAAAATGTGATATTGAAAACGAATTTTGTTTCAAATTTAAAAAAATTATTCTCAGATATCTTTTATTTCTATAAATATTGTTACACATAAAATTTCTCAAATTTATTTTCATATTTTAAAAGTGAGAATCCAATATTCTCATAAAAATAATAATAAGTTAACAATAATTTTTCACTAATATTCATATTTATTTTTATTTTTATTTTTAATTTATATATATTTTAAAGTAAATAAAATTTATAAAATTTACTGGGATATATAGTTTTTGGCCAAACACTTTCATAAAAATATTATTTCTAACAATAATAATCGTGAAAATAGAATTCTTAAGAAAGACAATTTTTTAACTTGAAATAAACACACTCTAGAAAGTTCATCCAATTTATCTACTAAATAAAAAATAAGTTAATGGATTGAATTAAATCTATTCATATATATATATATATATATATATATATATATATATATATATATATATATATATATATATATATATATATATATATATATATATATATATATATATATATATATATATATATATATATATATATATATATATATATATATATATATATATATATATATATATATATATATATATATATATATATATATATATATATATATATATATATATATATATATATATATATATATATATATATATATATATATATATATATATATATATATATATATATATATATATATATATATATATATATATATATATATATATATTTTTGATAATTCAATAAATTATTTTTATATTATTCTTTAAATCCAATCAATCTATTTTTTTAATTAATAAAAATTTAATTCTTTTTCGAAAATAAAGAAAAACGATAATATTCAGAATTTCGAAAAATCGAGTTTTTTCAAAAAAAATCAAAAAATTTGAATTTTTTTTTGAAAGATCAATTTTTTTCGGAAAATTGAAAATTGAGTTTTTTCTAAAAGTCGAGTTTAATCGAAAAAAGTCATTTTTATTTCGGAAAATCGATTTTTTATCAGAAAATAGAAAAAACAATTTTTTTCCAGAAAATTGACTTTTTTTGAAAAATCAAATTTTCTTGAAAAGTCGGGTTTTTTTTTTCAAAAAATCGAGTTTTTCCAATGAAAAATTGTAAATTCAAGTTTTTTTTAATCAGTTTTTTTGGAAAATCAAAAAAATCGAGTTTTTTTGGAAAATAAAAAATTGTCTTTTCTCGAAAAAGTTGAAAAATTGAGTTTTTTAGAAAAATCGAAAAATTGAGTTTTTTCGAAAAATCAAAAATCGAGTTTATTTGGGAACTCGAAAATTGAATTTTTTCGGAAAATCGATGAATCAAGATTTTTTGGAAATTCAAAAAATCAAGTTTTTTTTGAAAAATTAAAAAATCGAGTTTTTTTTTGGAAAACCGAAAAATCAAGTTTTTTCGTAAAATTGAGTTTTTTTGAAAAATAGAAAAAATTGAGTTTTTTTTCGAAAAATCAAAAATTGAGTTTTTTCAGAAAATCGAAAAATCGTTTTTTTTTTGGAAAATAAAAAATCGAGTTTCTTTTCAGAAAATCAAAAAAATCGAGTTTTTTTTCAGAAAATCGATGAATCGAGGTTTTTTCAGAAAATCCAAAAATCGAGTTTTTTCAGAAAATCCAAAAATTGAGTTTTTTCGGATATACGAAAAAATCGAGTATTTTTCGTAAAATCGAAATAAAGTTTTTTCGGATAATCGAAAAATCGAGTTTTTTCAGAAAATAAAGAAATCAGTTTTTTTTTGGAAAATCGTGCAATCGAGTTTCTTTGGAAAAATAAAAAAAAATTCAGAAATACATAAAATCTATTTTCTTTTGGAAAATAAAAAAAATCGAGTTTTTTCGGAAAATCAAAAGTTTGAATTTTTTTGAAAACACAAAAATCGAGTTTATTCAAAAATACAAAAGATTTTTTTTTATAAATAAATGAATATATTTAAATTAATATTTTTTAATGAATGGATATTCATCAATTAAAATGATGTTAACGGATGAATTGGATGGATTTTATTCTTAATAGATGAATTAGATTGAATATTTTTAAGCAAGTTTTAATAGATTAATAGATTATTTTGATTCATCCATTACTAATCAAATCCATATCTATCCGATCCACCCATTTTACCATCCTGCTAAAAACCAGTCTTAACAATGTAAAAGTGTTGGATAAGGAGTATTGGTGCTATCCGATTTTTTTTGAAAAATTAAAAAATCGAGTTTTTTTTTGGAAAACCGAAAAATCAAGTTTTTTCGTAAAATTGAGTTTTTTTTGAAAAATAGAAAAAATTGAGTTTTTTTTCGAAAAATCAAAAATTGAGTTTTTTCAGAAAATCGAAAAATCATTTTTTTTTGGAAAATAAAAAATCGAGTTTCTTTTCAGAAAATCAAAAAAATCGAGTTTTTTTTCAGAAAATCGATGAATCGAGGTTTTTTCAGAAAATCCAAAAATCGAGTTTTTTCAGAAAATCCAAAAATTGAGTTTTTTCGGATATACGAAAAAATCGAGTATTTTTCGTAAAATCGAAATAAAGTTTTTTCGGATAATCGAAAAATCGAGTTTTTTCAGAAAATAAAGAAATCAGTTTTTTTTTGGAAAATCGTGCAATCGAGTTTCTTTGGAAAAATAAAAAAAAATTCAGAAATACATAAAATCTATTTTCTTTTGGAAAATAAAAAAAATCGAGTTTTTTCGGAAAATCAAAAGTTTGAATTTTTTTGAAAACACAAAAATCGAGTTTATTCAAAAATACAAAAGATTTTTTTTTATAAATAAATTAATATATTTAAATTTTTTTTAATGAATGGATATTCATCAATTAAAATGATGTTAACGGATGAATTGGATGGATTTTATTCTTAATAGATGAATTAGATTGAATATTTTTAAACAAGTTTTAATAGATTAATAGATTATTTTGATTCATCCATTACTAATCAAATCCATATCTATCCGATCCACCCATTTTACCATCCTGCTAAAAACCAGTCTTAACAATGTAAAAGTGTTGGATAAGGAGTATTGGTGCTATTGATTAAATTCTGCTCATATTTAGGTTTGTTATGGATCTGTAAATGTGATAAGCACAGTGCCAATAACATCTTTTTATTAGAAATGAATCTTATTAGAGAGGAAAGAGGACAAGTACTATCTCAATGCCAATGTATGGTTAGTTGTAACATGCAATATAATCAGCGTTCAGATGGACTATCAATTTTGTCGAAATAACTAGCCCACGCATCAAAATTCAAGAGGCATTGTGGTGAGATGCTTATTTGTGCAATGCCACTTTTGCGGTAGTCCCTAACTCACCATATTTGTTAAAGTATTCTTCTGGACCGTGACGTGATGCTGATACATATCCTGTATTACTTGTTTTTCTTCTGGTTTTCTATTGTTGGTTCATTGTTCAACGCAGCCACCATTCCATCTTCGGTAACATTGATATAAGGGCTCTGATCGATCGACGAGTCTAATGGTGCCTTTGGTTTAGAGACCTGCATTGCCAAAAATAGAGATAACAGCAGTTCAGCCACTAGAAATGCTCCACTTAGTGCACCAAGATGATATAACTTGCATAGCATTCAAAGATAGTATAGAACAAAAGGAAGAAAAAACATTTGTCAACAAGATTATTTATAAGTAACATATTTTCTACCTTCTTCTGTTCATGCATATAATGGCTAGAGTGTAGCACATCAAGAAACTCATTAGCAGCTCTTACCCACCTGCAGCAGGCAAGAAAATCACGTTTCATTTACTTTATAATTGTGGTTGCTTATTTGGAACCTAGATGATTTTATAGCTAATCAAGGAATAATATTGATGATATTATAATCATTTGTTTAAATTGTTTTAAAATATAATAATTGAAGGACAACTAAAGGCATAAGATTGGTAGATGTAACAAAATACTAAGAGTCAGATGCACAAAATGAATCAAGTACCACAGGCTAGATGCAGTTATTCCTTCAAAGAAAGCCAAATGTCCTCCATGCTTTACAGTGGCCAACACAATATTTTTATTTAACCTATTGAAGGATTAACACGTTAAAATGGGTGTTGAAGTAATGCAACAGAAATAGAAAGCAAACTGATTAGAAAAAACAACAAAGCAGCCTACCTGCATTCGTCCCATGGAATGGCTTCCTTGGTACATACGGGATCATCAAGAGCACTAATACAGAGAAGCGGAATTGATACAGATTTCACATAAGGAGTACTGCTGCAACGCCTATAGTACGTATCAACAGTCTAGAAAAACAAAAGGATTTTAGATAGCAGACATAAGGAACCGGAAAAGAGACGACGGTAGAAAATAGAAGATTACAAATCTTAGGTGGTACATGTACCTCATACTTTGCAAACAAACGAGTGGCATGGTCATCAAAATGTCGAATAGAAATTGCCTGCAAAACATAAGAATACATATGATTACTAATCAAGTTTTAAAAACTTAACCAAATCAATAACACTGAACAACATTTGAGAATGTGGTATATATTAGAATAAGTTTTGCGCCTCAAGAAAAAAAGCTATATCCAACATGTAAATGAGAGTAGCTACTATTTGGCCTCAAAAATCAGCACGGAACTTTCAATCACTCAATGTCCTGGACTAGTCACATTTAAAATGTCCACTATAAAATAACAGAATAAAGAGGATTAATGAATAAAAATGAATGGTCAATAGCTTGAAACCCTTATGACATCTTCCACGTTGAATAATACTCACTAGCAACTTGCTCTAAAACCACACACACAAAAACTTACTGCAGTTTTTGGAAGAAAAAAATGTCAATAGGAATGTATATCAGAAAACATAATGAACATGTGATAAAGAAGTCAACATCAAACAATTGTAGGATAAGCATACAAATTTATCATATATTTATATTAAATAGTAGTAAAAATTATGAACTTATTGAGAGTAAGACCACCTTCATTATCCCTTCCCAATTACCAAGCCGAGAAAAGATAGGCTTGTGTCTGCAATGAATATTTGTCAAATCAAGTCAAATGTGAACTATAGAGACACATCTAAAACTTTCATGTTTGTCTGCAGATGATCATAGATGGAAATTAAAAGCTTATAAACCAAAAAGATAGAGGCATACGATTTTGCAAAATCTTGAAGGCCACCTGTTAGTGCTTTGTCATAAAACTTTTGCACAGGAGCACGAGTTATAAATCTATCAGTTATCTGCAAACATTATAGGTAACATTACTTCCAGTTAAGGAGCTATAACAGGCAAAATGAAAAATAGAAACTTTCAGCGATGACAAACTGATAGTGAAATTCGATATAACCCTGTTCATTATATCAAATAGATTGTGTTAAACAATTTTGAACCAGAAGCACATATAGCTTGAATGCTAAAGGCCGGAAAGTATATCACAAGAATGTTTTAGTGCTCGTTTGGATTCACATTTGAAATGGTAGACGTACGTCTAGAATGGTTTCTTCCGTGAAAATACAGAAGCTAGGATTCCTAGCTTTTGGTAGACGCACGTTTGGAGTCATTTTTGACGCGGAAACAAACACACGCTTAGATAGTTTCCATTATGTTTATGTGATTCCAAACCTAAATATTGCAATGTGCATACTTCGTTCCTAAAGCTTTAATCTAGTTAAAACTTTAACATTCCATTTAGAATGCATGATATTTCAGTTGATTCTTAAGTTTTTTTTTTTCAATTGGATTCACAAACAATTAGATTGGGTCCAAATTCAGAAGATAGATCCATTAGATAGTGGTTACTTTTCACAACATATTAGGTACATTAATAAATGTCATTTCAGCAAAAGTCAAGCTTTGAAATCAAAATACTTCAGTAATTACTAACCAAAAGGTCCCAAGGAGAGCAAATAGCTACAGCTCCAGCTACCGGAGTATTCTCACCTTCCTCACCAAGATATTTTACCTGCAAACAATCCTTACAATCATACAGTGTTGTGCCAAGCTATTTGGATATTTGAGCCCACGTTGAAGATATGTGTGATTACATCAAACTTCAACATTTAGATTAGTTGAGGTATGCAATTAAATTAATCAACGGGGACACAAACATGACATGAAGAAATTTGATGCAAGAAATTTACAAGACTTAAGCTGCGAATTTACCAGAATATTAGCCCCAACACTATTTCCAACAATAAACAAAGGCGCCTTGGGATTCTCTTTGTGGAGATAATTAACAACTGTGCGAGTATCCTCAGTCCATCCAGAATTGTAGAAAATATCAGACTGAAATAATTTTAATAAGCATTTACATTACCAAAAGAAGAAAACAACCAAACCGATACACCATTGAGATGCACATCAATCCTACAACTCCAACAAAAAGAAATGCAAATAATCAAACTTGTTAATCTACACATTTCTAACCGTGATTGGAACACCTCCAAGTCCTCGGTGATTACTGACAACAACTTTCCATCCGCGTTTTGCCGTATGATATGCAAGGTGTTTGAGATACTGCGAAGAAAGGGAGAATAACAATCTATAAGATGGCACTACAATATAACTTAGGCACACAAATAAACAATAGTAGCTTGAAATAACTTACAGGAGCTGAAGAATCACTTGTTAAACCAGGAATCAAAATAGCAATGGGAGTAAATTCATCTTTATTTACAACACTGCTAGAATCTGTACAATTACCAAACACAAAATTCTGAAAGGTCAACAAGTCTTTCTACCAAAATTACTATGCATTTTCCAATACTACTTTCCTCCCTAAATATAGGATTATCCGGTGTTTATTCTCTGTTCAAAGAAAAAATTAACTAATTATCTCTATTAGAAGGTGCAGATACTATTCAAACTGGTTAATTCATATCGCGACCAATATCAGTGTTGTAGTACATGTACCAACCGCGACAGATGTTTAAAACCTTCGGATCAACAAATTTTGTGAAGGACAGAAAAGTAATTATAAGAATATTTTTCTACTATATGCATACCGTCAGAGTTAGTTACCCAGTCCAAAGCAAGGGTTCCACCATCAGAAGTAGTAAATAATTGTCTGAAATTGAAATATATGAACTAATAAGATTTAATTTATATATTATATATTATTTATCCCTATGCATAAAGAAAAAGGAGAAGGTAAAATGACTGTTATGACCTTTTGTAACTGAAAACGGGAGGTCTACCAAAGAAGTTGAGAAAAACCGTTTGAAGATGAGGACTGGAAAGCCAAGGCGTGACAGAATATCTTCCCTGAAGAATCCGGCACTTTGAAACGACGGCGTCGTAGATTTCGGAGGAGGAGTGGTAGGTGAAGTCAACGGCGGAGCCGGAGAATCCGGTGAAGAGATCTTCGAAGAAATGGATTTCGAGGAAATTGTAGAGGAAGCATAGGAGAAGAGTGGTAAGGATGAGAAAGTAATGCCAGATTGGAAGAAGAGAGAGTCCTTTGAGGATGAAGAAGTAACCGTTTGAAGGCGATGATGGATCAAACTCCATGGAGATTGGGATTTGAGTTTGTTAGAGTTTGTTGAAGTGTTTTTGATAGGTGTGAGAGAATATATAACACTTGACAGTCAATTATGCACGACGGAATAGAGAATTTTTAATTATTATTTAAGATGTGAAATGTGTTCAAATAAGTTGAATTATTGATTCTTGTCGTATCTTGACTGGATCGCATATCATGTCGTTTCATGACTGGCGGTGGACTGGTGATGCTGTTCCATACATACAAGCAGCAGCCTCATCACGGTTGCTTTCTTTCCCGCCTGCACACATAAAATAGCGTAACTAACAAGTGCAGATCACGTAATACAGTAATAAAGAATCACAAATAAAAACTATTTAAGAAATTGTGTATTTAATTTTTTAGTTTAAAATTTTTATCTTAAACTTTTTGGGAAGTTTGGATTAGATCTTCAGAAAAGTAAACTCTAGATTCAAGTTTTCACGAACATTATATAATTTTTTAACATGTACTCTAAAATTATTTGTTAGTCATTTTTAAAATATAAATAATATTATAAGTAGTGATATATTTATCATAGACTCATATGGAATGATATAGAGATCTATCTTTATTAAGTGTTGTCTAAGGGTGTGTCGTTTAGATATGATTTTCACTTATTAAATAGTTTATCTCAGTAGAAAAATATAAATCTGACGTGTATAGAGCTTATAATCACGCGTGAAAGAAGTAATGGTCACGATTATCTAAGACGTATGCATTCAACGAGTTTCATGGGTAAGGTGCGACGGTTACTGTTTCTTAAAAACTCTCAAATCCAAACTCTTACCTTATAGATAAGGAGGACAATCTCATATCCAATTTGAAATGTATTTAAGAAGTCATATGTGATTCGAAAAATGCAAAATTGTGATTTGATTCATATGCAACAAAAGGTTTTATAAATGAGTGATTTTGCAGTATGATTTGAATTAAATGCATCTATGGTTCAAATAAAAAAGACCAATGGCCAAAATGAAAGTGAATATTAAGTTAATTCAAATCAATCAAAAGAGTGATTTAAATCATTTTGACTTGAGACTTCAATAAACTTCAAATAAAATAAAAGAAGGTGGTTGAAATCACTAAGAATCATAATTTGAATCAAGTCCCCCCCCCATAAGCTACAAATAAGTTTAAAAATCATTTTGCGACTTAAATCAAGTAAAAGATTGATTATTGAGGAATATAAGTTGCATCATATTCTTAGACTAGACTTAGACAATTTAGGGATTGAGCTTCAATGACTTTAAGGTGTCAAAGTTACTGTAACTTTATCTCTATTATAAATTATTTTCTTTCATTCTATTTTTTTCCTTTTTTCCTCTTTCTCTTCAAAAGTAATTAAAATCACCTAAAATTATCAAAGGTAAAATCACTTAATCCCAACCCATAATTTACACCAACCAAGACAACTATGTCCAGAATGAAAACCTAGACCTTTTCATTTATAACAAGTTTAAATTCTATTTTGATATGTGTAGTGTTTTTTTAGTGTAAAGGAATGTGTGCTAGTGTGTTTCATGCTTGATAGATTATATTTCAAAATTATTGTAATTTCCATGTTTTGATTGTCTTGATTTTACATTCACATATTGACTCCTTTCATGTTATTCTTTTGAGTTGTTTGACTTTGTCACACACCACAACCACATCCATACTCCAATCATTTACATATCATCTATATTTAAATTTGGTTTAGAGTTGCAATACCTTTAGAGTGTATGACTTATTTTAATGAGAAAAAAATATTTTTTAAAGAAATTTAAAATGACTTCATTCAAATATCTTGTTTGGGTAAATGAATGAGAGAATTTTTAAAATGATAGAATTTTATTAGATATTTTTTAATGATTAATTTGGGAGAATTTACAATTTCACTTCGAATGATGAAATTGTGAATTCCATCACTCTTTCTCATGAGTGCGGTCTATGAGGTTTAAATTTCACGCTTTCTTCTCTAGATGTCTTTCTCATGACACGCGTTCTGTGTTATTCATATCTCACACTCTCTCGTCTTAAATATGTCTCTCGCATTTCTATCACACCCTCTTCTCTCTCTCATAATCAATCCACTCTCCTTCATCTTAGGTATTTGCATTCTTTTCCATCTTGCTAATTCAGTGTTAGGATTCTTATTTGTCATTTTGATCACGAATGTGTAGCACTCACACTAACTTGTACTGCTTAATATTAGGATAATTAGTTGTTAAATTGTTATTTATTTCATTATTTTAAGATTAAAACACCTTATGTCCTATCAAATAATTTAGTAACATTAAACTTACTGAGAGTAACTCCAATGGGAGTTCCTTCACCGTTTTTCCAGCATGACAAACGCAGCATACAAATTGAATACCGATGGAGTTGTCCAGCCTAGAAATCTGTTACAGTGTAATGCAAGGTTCTTCAAACTAAAGAAATAATAAATTAATAACAAAATTGTTTTCTTTCACTTTATTTTTTAATTTTTTTTAATAATTTATTTGTTTACAAATTTTATATATGATCTTTATTATATATTAACAGTTTTATAAATAATTGTTTTCTTTTAATAAAGTTAATTTTCTTTAACACTTTTCTAATTTCTTTTACTTTAATTATTTTAATTATTGTTATAAAATTTAAGTTTAATTATATTTATTTATTTATTTTATTATATATTAAGTTTGATTAATTTATGTGATGTTATTTATTTTTATTGTTTTTAGTTATATGTCAAGTATTTGAAATTTATTTTAATTTATTTTAAATTATAAGAATGATAAATGATGAGAATGATGAAAATTAAATTTGAGTAATTTTGTTATGTTATTTATTTTTAATGTTTTTAATTATATGTCATGTATTTGAGATTAATTTTAATTATCATTTTAAATTTTATGTTTAATTTTAATTTGATTTATTTTATATTAATTTAAATATAAATAATTATTTTAAATCAAATAAAATTTAATATGAATAAAATATTAATATATAAAGTAAAGATGTGATATCTAATTTGAGTTCTTTAGAGTTGCACCATTAGAGTGAAAATTGAATGAGTTGTTTCAAGATGATTTAGTTTAATAGATCCCACAAAAAAACCAAAAATTGAATTGCACCATTGGAGGTACTCTAAGAATATGACGTGGATTTGTATACTCATTAGCTACTTTTCATCCTCTTTTAAAGTTTTGAAGTCTAGTTAAAGTTTTGAATTTGGGTGGTCAATGTGTAGGATTCTACTAGTGTTTTTACTTAGTAAAGGAATGTTATTCTGCCTTGTGTTCGTAAAAGTACTTTTATTTTAAGAAATGAACATTAGTATAGTCGAAACTTCAATAAGACATAAAAGAAATGAAGAAGAAAGGGAAGAGCTTCAGGAAACAACATTCATTCTTGTTAGTGTTGTTACTACGTTAGTAGGAGTAATGATTTTGTATCATGATTAGAGATAGTAATGGATACCCATGGATATGGATATTAGTTTTCTACTACCCGCTTTATTTAATAAATATGATATCTGTATCTGCTCCATATCCGTGTAAGTATCTCTTAGACGGATATCCGTAAATTTTAAAATACCAGTGGATATATATGGATATCTATGGATACTTTTATTTTATTTTTTAAATATATAATAAATTAAATTTTTTATCCTTTTTAAAGACAATAAAATAATTTCAAATTTAACACATAATAATAATAATAATAGAAAAAACAAATCACATTCATTTTATTTCTTCTTTTTACAAATAATTATATTATGCTCAACAAAATAATAAAAGTTTTATATTCAACAAAATAATAATAATTATAATAATAATATTAATATTAATAATTTTAGATTAAATAAATTAATATTTAAGTAATTTTGTTAATTATTAACGGATACAGATACTCGTGAGTACGAATACCATCAAATTCATATTTGTACCCGTAAGTAAACAGATAATTAAATATCTATTTATTTTATCTATGGATATCTATTAAGACAACATATCCGTGTCTGTGATGAGTTTTATCCATAAATACCTACGAGTACGGAATTTTTTACTATCTTTAATTATGACAAATATTTTGTCAAAGAATCAACTTGAAATTTTGAATTGGAAATGTGTAATTTCCTTAACCGTCTATCCAGAGAAACAAAAACTAATTGCATGGAGCAATTAAGAGTTAGTAAAGGGATATTTTTTAAACTTTGTAGAATTTTAGAAGAAAAAGGGCAATTGTTAAAGACAAGAAATGTCCCTACTTCTAAATTTGTGTCACTATTTTTGCATATCCTTGTTCAAAATCTAAAATATATAACCATACACTTTAATTCAATAATATCCTTAGAGTTGTTATGAAAGTAAGTCGAGAATATTTGAAGTTTTACGATAATAATTTAGGTGGCCTTGAGGAAAATAAATGGAAATGGCTTGAGGTAAGTTTTGAAATTTAGTTTACAACTTTTAACTCTTTTTAGGTATATATAGTTGTAGTAATTTTTTAAAATTGTTTTTAGAATTCATTTGAGCACTTGACGGGACATATGTTCCAGTAACATTGTTGTACAAGATAGGCCTAGATAATGTAATAGAAAGAGGGACATATCTACAAATGTGTTAGGAGTTTGTGGTCTAAATTTATGGTTAATTTATGTGATATTAAGGTGAGAAGGGTCAGCAAAAGATTCTCGAGTATTACAAGATGCTTTACGTTGTCAAAGTTGTCTTCAATTCTAAATCATAACATATTAATATTTTATTTATTTAATGGATCAAATGTGTTTTTTTCTTTATTTTAAAAAATAATTATTGTAGGTAAATACTTTATTGTGGATGTGAGATATACAAATGATCCTAGATTTTTAGCAACATATAGAGTGATTAGATATCATCTTAAATAGTGGATTTGAAATAAGATCGCGATCTTGCGAGTCTTAAAGAATCTAGACCGCAAGTATACAGTCCTATCGCGTGTAGCTTTAAAGATTATCGAATCTCAAGGGATTAAATGT